TGCTACTGCTGCTACTGCTACTGATACTGCTGCCACTACCGCTGCTGCTACTGCCGCTGCTCTTGCTGCTGCTCCTGCTGCTACTGCTGCTGCTGCTGCTGCTACTACTACTGCTGCTACTGCGACTGTTGCCACATCGTCATCACCGCAATCCTTGTCGCCATCATGACCACAATCCCGCACCGTCTCATCTCACATCATACGAAGGACTGGGTACAATACCCGATGCCTGTGTCCCTCCGCCGTACGACATGTGGGTTCTTTGAAGGTTGGGGAGCCGCAGTCACACCACGAGTACCTGCCCGATGTTCATCACAGGGATCACAGACCAGATGCCAGTAGTTGCTTTTGAGGTGGCACGGAAGCTGGCCGTGCCGGTCAGCAATCGGTCATGTCAAACACCACGCGACATGGATAAGCATTGCATTTTGCAAACGAATTTGTGAGTCGCAGGCCGCAGGTCCTAATATATCAGTCTAAAAAACAAGACTCGAATTTCGTGTGCTTTGCACGGCAGGAGTGGCAGTCAATCGCTGCACTGCTGTCCATTTACTGGGGTACAGGCCCGTGCATCTGAAAAATACCGCAAGCTCATTGGCAACGTAGCCATATAATGAGAGTTTTGAAGTGATGGTTAGTTGTGCGTGATGCACATGGCAAGAACAGTTGATACAGGTATACCGAGGATGCTTCCGTGGCTCGTGGGCTGTCGGTCCATCAAAGTGATCCGGGACATCACTGCAAGTCTCAGATGCTTGGGGCACCCTGCTCCAAGTAACCAGACCTGTCAAGGAAGGGTTCAGGTTGTCTGCATGGGTTCCACGAGCTTCTGGCCGGTAGATTAAAAAGAGAAGATGGAAACCGAACACGTCTGCGATACGTTATCAAGTTGCCAGCCAGTCAGTGTTCTCTGCAACGTCAAGAAGCAGGTAGGTCGGTCGGTTCGTGCCTGAAACGATCGGTTTAAACCAAGCTTGCAAACACACGAAACGGGTAGCCTTCGGCTCTTCTGCTTTGTCAGGAACCGAGCCCGTCTAGACCGAAGTTTTCATGTCGACGCCAAAAGCATAAAAACTCCCGTCACAGTGTTAATCCTAATTATAGTGTCATACAACGACCCTCAGCAAGGAACGCAAAAACCAGTCAAACCCTGCTGCATGTTGGAAACTCTGGAGAACAGCGTCGCCTCACCTCACATCCAAGGTGAAGGTGGAGCCAAAACTCGGGGTGTCAGCTTGGGCACATCCAGGCCTGAGCGAAGCTCCGGAATCCAGTTCCCAATGCTCAAGGTGCTGGACGGGTTTGGCAACCTACACCCCCAGGAAAAAAGAAGCGTAGGGTCCTCAGCCAGAGACCTTCTTTGAGAGCGCTGGGCTTAGCTTAGGGCTTCTAGTTTTTCGGCCGTTGGTGGCAATCAATCTTCTCGTATTCCGGTATGTCCCATGACCACCAGAATTTGTCCTACCGGTAGAATTGGCACGACCACGGCGAATATGATGGCTGCTGCCGTTGTCGAACAAACAAGACTGGCCATCAGTGTAAAATCGCTGCTTCCCAATCTGCTGCTGCGTTGACTGCGCTTGGTACGAGCGGACAGTGAGAATGCAGTCGTCGTCGACATGGTGATGGTTTCGGAAACAGCAGCAGGAGCCGAGCAACTGTAGCTAGAGCATAAGTTTTGTCCTTATTTGCTTTCTTGTTCTTGCTTGTGAAGGTAGTAGCAGGAAGAGAAGAGTAGTATTAGCGATAATAGCAAAAGCCGCAGCAGCAGCGAGAGCAGGAGCAGGAGCACGAGCAGGAGCAGCTGCAGCAGGGAGGGGGAGTAATTGTAGTTGTAGCGGTAGTACTTAGTGGTGGTGGTAGTAGTAGTAGTAGTAGTAGTAGTAGCAGCAGCAGTAGCACTAACTAGTAGTATCAGCAGGAATATGAGTACGGGTACGATACTAGTACGAGTACTGGCACTAGCACTAGATCTGGCACTAGAAGCACTACCTGCAGCAGCAGGAGGAGCAGCAGCAGCAGCAGCAGTAGAACATAGTACAGTAGAACAGATATGTCGTCATCGTGTTCTTAGTGAGACGTAGTAGTAAGTAGCAGCATGTAGCAGAAGCACCAGTAGTGGTAGCAGCGGCAGCAGTATGCAGCAATGGAGGCCCGAGCAGTGGACACACCGAACACACACCCACACCCACACCCACACCCACACCCACACACACACGGTCGTGGCAAGTGCGGCAAGTGGTATGGAAATAGTGGCAGTGCAGCAAGAAGTAGCAGCAGGACATGAGCCATTTCTAACGCCAGCACTGCCAAAACACATGCATGCTACGAGCATGAGCAACAATGATGAGGGTTGGTTGAAATTGAACTCAGGAATCGAAGATCTCCGCTTTATCAAATTGACGCCCCTGCTCCGCGCGAGCCCAAGACCTGATCCCTGGCCCTCGAACAGTCCAAAGCCGATCCGCCTACACAGCCGGGCGAATGTGCAAATGCGTTACCAGACCCCTGTAGTGGAAGACCGTGAAATTCGATGTCCGAAGCCAACTCATCTCCCGACAACCGCATCACACCTTGCCCCACTACCCGTTGTATCTCCACCTTTTGTGCCCATATATGCAAACACTTGTATACATATATATATATATATTGATTTATTTATTTGTTTATTTTTTATTTATACGCATGTATACATATACATACATGTTTACACTTGTTTATGCATATGTATGTATAAACAAACAATAAATAAATAAGAAATAAACAAACAAGATTCTATGTATGTAAATAGACAAAAACATACATACATACATACAT